CCCAGCACTCCCTCAGGTGTGGAGTTGGCCTTGCCATGGTGGTGAGTGTAGGAAATCCAGGGTTTCCGAAGGGTCGTGTTTCCAGCAGCCCAGCAGAAGTGCCCCTGAGAATCATCTCCTCTCAAGGCCCGTTCAGGCTGTTGATGTGCTGCTTGGGCTGACCCATGATCTTACCCATTTTTTCCCAGTTTCTCATATAATTTCCTTTGTGTCAAGTTGACATCCATTTATCTTATGCTGATACTCTTTCTTGAGTTGTAAATTGCTGTGTTCTCTGGTCTGCTCCCCCACAGACAGCATCTCTATACTCTCCCAGCTGTTGTTTTCCTGAGCTGACTTTTGAATAACTCTGGCAAGTTTTTGGGTGGTGTTTTTGTGGGTTTGTTGTTGGTTTTTTCCACTTTTTTTAATGTTGCCATTCACTTACAAAGCTGCCAAAGGCTGAATGCAAATCATGCCTCTCGTCTCCATGATCTGTCACACTCAGGTACTGGTGGGCTTCTGGTGGTGGGAGGGGGTCTGCAGTGGGTTTATCTCATGCTCCGTGTTGTGGGGCTGACTGACCATCACACTCAGTCCCTTCTGCGTCCCCTCTGGTGCTTGGGAACCTTTCACCAGGTTTCAGAGGGATGGGAGCGTTCTTGGGGGTCTTTGGCTGGTGGGAGGCTTTGGCATATCTTGGCAACCTGGAAGTGTGATTGCTGCCAGCATCTCGTGTGGCCCGAGGATAACGAGCAGTGGTGGTTGGGATATGGGCTGATTGATTCCGAAACATTACAGGCAAATTGGCAGATGTTCTGCTTACAGATGTTCCCTCTCTTTTCTGGATTAGCAGTCCTGCAGCCTGTCTTGCCCATTGCTGTGCTCCTTGCTTTGCCAAGGAATTTTGTTTTCTCCAGGATCCTCACAAGTGTGTTTCAGAAGAGCTGAGCATATCAGATTTCCTGCATTTTCTACCCCGATTCTGCATTTTAAATAACAGGACTGCTCACAGTGGAAGCTCCTCCTTCTGAGCAGAAGTCAAGGTTTTGGGGTTGGGTGCTGAAGAGATAATTATCTAATGTGGAAAACATAATTGTCATTCAGTTTAAAGTTGGAATTCCAGGCCTGTGAATCCCCCTAGATGAACAGGACAGATGCAGCTTGTGCTGATGCTGCTGACCAGAAGATTGCTGGGGAAGGGGTGTGGGTTTTGGTTTGGATTGTGGGGTGTCACATGGGGTGTTAGCAGAGCTGTGTTGGGGTTGGGATTGCTGGGGAAGGGGTGTGGGTTTTGGTTTGGATTGTGGGGTGTCACATGGGGTGTTAGCAGAGCTGTGTTGGGGTTGGGATTGCTGGGGAAGGGGTGTGGGTTTTGGTTTGGGTTGTGGGGTGTCACACTGGGTGTTAGCAGAGCTGTGTTGGGGTTGGGATTGCTGGGGAAGGGGTATGGGTTTCGGTTTGGATTGTGGGGTGTCACATGGGGTGTTAGCAGAGCTGTGTTGGGTTTGGGTTTGCTGGGGATCTGCTCTCTCCACCCCTGGTGTGTGAGCAGGCCAGGCCAGAGGGAGAGGGGAGGATGGAGGGTGTTAGGATCAACCAACCATGGGTGCCTCTCCCTGGCAGGGCTGGTCTCCAGCTCCACTGTGCAGGTGGCAGAAGATGGATGCCCTGCGAGTGCTCCTGCTGTTCCCTAGGCAGCAGGCTTGAAGAGTGGAAAAAGGCTTTGCTGCCTGCCTGTGTTTGTCCCTGGTTCTATGAAAAGGCATTTAACTGAAAGGAGAGTGCCATGAAATGTGGCAGCAGAGCATAGCTGGAAGCAGGGCAGCGACTGCAGGTGCTGTGGGGGCTGTGTCCATGAGCTCCCAGGGACCCCGGAGCACTGAGCAATGTCCTGTCTTTGCATTGATGATGTCAGCAGCTCTTCGTTTTGTTTTCTACACAAACCTTTCCCATTCAGCAGCAGCAGCAGCTCCTGGGGTCAGTGTCCATCTCAGCTGTTTGTGTGACAGCTCATCGCTGGGTGGCTTTAGGGTCGCAGCTGGCCACATCTGCAGAGCCTGCCCTTTGCTGCCACGTGCCAGAGTGGCACTGACCTGGCTGAACTCCTTCAAGGAGGCTTAAAAGTGTCAAAACAACATGCTACAGGCATGGGAAAAACAAAGAAATTCTGTTGACGAAGGTCAGAGTGTGCTGGGGACGGAGAGAGCTGGACCCCAGCAAACCAGGGACAGAGAGAGTAACTACTGAGGTACTCTGTCACCTGTCACTGTGAGACCTTGTTTGCAATGACAATTTAGTTGCTTTTTCTCCATTCTTTTAGCAGCCATATTTATTTATTTTAAGGGTCTTTCTAGCATTCCTGTAGAGTGGAATTGTCCTTAACTTTGGGGTTTCTGCATGCTGGGAGCGAGGGCTGGTGTCTGTGTGCAGCAGCTGCCCAGGGTCCCCAGGGAGCTCTGGCTGGGCAGAGGCAGTAGTTGTGCTGAGCATCCCCTTCCTCTTCTGCTCGGGGCCTCGGCCCTTCTGGCTCCCGTGTCAGCATCCTCCTGCCTGCAGATGGGCTGGATGCAGGTCAGAAACGATCTGGAGCACTCTAGCTACTGCAGGGATGGTTACATGGTTCTCCAGGCAGACTTTGGGAACAGAAAATGGCTTTGCTGGTGGCAAGTGCCATCTGTTGAGTCCCTCGCCATGTCCGTGTGGTGTGAGCCTCGGAGGCATTTCTGTGAACAATTGTGCTATCCTCTCATAATGTATCAAGAACATAAAGAAAGTGCCCAGGGAGGGTCCCACATAAGGTGAGTGATGAATTTTTGAGCTTTCAGCATTCCTTATTTCCAAGAGTTTTGATTTTAGGTGCCCTTCATGAAGCCTTCGGTCCCATCACTGCCACCATGAAATGACCCAGTGATGAGTTACCTGCCAGGCTTCCAGAGCTCAGGCTCACATGAGAGTTGTTATATGAAGAAATGTTGAAAAATACCAGATTGCCAGATTATGATAATGGCAATTTTAGCCTCCTCTACATGAGAGCCTCACAAATTTACGGAGCTTGAAGTAGTTCATAGATTTGTTGTGATTTCAGCCAGTGCTTTGCATCATCATTACTTCATCATTTATTAATTCGCCATCCAGCATGAAGTGATGATTGTGCAGGCAGGATCTTGCAGAGGTGAGGCTGTGGGACAGCCCGGTGCTGGCAGGGACTGGCAGGGCCAGCCTGCCCTGTGTGTATGTGTGTAATGTGTGGGTGCTGAGGAGGATTCCAGGCACTGCAATCACACCTCTGCATTCCTGTGGGTCACTGAGTGTCCCAGTGACCCTGGCAGCCGTTTCAGGCACTGCAGGTATTTTTAGTTGCTGGAGCTCTTGCAGGTAAGGTACCATTGGTCATCCTACTGTGCTGAATTTGCAGAAGGAGCCAAGGATGAGCTCTAGAAAGCAAAGTGTCTGTCCCACCTCTGCTGTGTGTGGGGGGGGTGGCAGTGGGGGGAGTGGGGCTGCACTCCCCTCTCCTCCTGGGCTCTGGGAACAGGCAGGCAGCATATGGACCTGTTCCATCAGCCGGCCCCTTCAATTCCAGCTCCTCTGATCCCTCCGCTGTGCAGCTGCTCCCTGAAGCCGGCTCAGCCCAATTGTTCTCACTTTGAATAGATTTTCCTACTGTCTAGTCTGGTTTGTCCTCCTGTTTCCAGCTCTGCACAGCCCCTCCCAGGGGGCTCCCCAGCCCTCTGGGCAGAGCCCAGCTGCTGCTCCAGGAAGAGCGAGTGGCTTCTGAGAGCTGCAGAAACCCTGCCTGGGGCTGGGAAGGGTTGGCAAGGTGTGTTTCCATTGCACCCTGTGCCACAGGTGCTGTGCTGCTGCTCTTGGGGACAGGGTGAGGGGTCTGGCTGTGCCCCTGCACAGTGCTCCCTTCCCAGTGCCTGCCTGTCTTCCTGAGATCAGCCCCGAGATCCCTTCCCGAGATCCCTTCCCGAGATCCCTTCCCGAGATCCCTTCCCGAGATCCCTTCCCGAGATCCCTTCCCGAGATCCCTTCCCGAGATCCCTTCCCGAGATCAGCCTGTGCTGAGGATTTGCAGCTTGGCTGTGTGATATGATGTGAGGGAGCTGGAAGAAGTGCAGTTGGTCTTTGACCATGGGAGAGAAGCGTCCTCAAAGTAGAGAGGATCAAGGTGAAAAGCACATTTCCAGCGTAGAAAGAGGAGCAACATTAAACAGTTCCAAGGATTGGGATGTGAGTGAGCTGTGCCCAGGGTTGTGAGTTCTGGCAGGGCCAGGTGAGGGTCAGCACTGGAGACCAGCTCTGTTTGCTGCTCCTGGGGTGCCTGTTCCCTGCAGGACCCCAGTGGGTGCCTGGAGTCCTGTGGGAGACACCGGCTGCCCGGGGAGCCCATTCCCACACCCACACAGGCACCTCTGGACACTGCTGAGCCCACTTTGGGAAAGGTTGCAGGGGCTGCAGTGTGTCTGTCCTGGTGTCTGAAGGGAAAGGAAATAAACCTGGAACAGATGAAGCTTGTGATGTTTGTGAGCTGGGATTTGAAGGGTCCAAAAGACTTTTTAAGCCTTTGAGCCAAAGCCACGTGTGATTTGCTGATTAACCCCAGAGCTTGGGGGGATGGGATGAGAGGAGGGTGCATGGCACTGCCCGCTTCCTCTAGGTCAGTACTGGCTGTCCTGTAGGTCTTCACATGGGCATTTATCAAGAAATAACATATTAGCTTATATGCAAAGAGTACAGGATTTCAGATAGTACCAGACAGATTGAAGTATCATTTGCTGGATTCAAAAGGCAATTGAAAGCTCTGAAGTTGCTCTTGGTGCTCTTACACAGCTGTTTGTTTTGACAAGAACAAGGTTTAGTGTGAGGCTGGTCAATGAAATTGTTCAGATCTGTCGCCTTTAGCAAACCCTGAGTTCACCCCAGGGCTCAGAAGGAGCTTTGCTCTGGGAGGACAGCCCTCCTGGCCAGTGTCTGCTGCTGCTGATGTGTTTTGTTCTCTCGTGTGCCTGCAGAGATCCGAACGCAGCTGGTGGAGCAGTTCAAATGCCTGGAGCAGCAGTCGGAGTCGCGCCTGCAGCTGCTGCAGGACCTGCAGGAGTTCTTCCGCAGGAAGGCCGAGATCGAGCTGGAGTACTCCCGGAGCCTGGAGAAGCTGGCTGAGCGCTTCTCCTCCAAGATCCGCAGTTCCAGGGAGCACCAGTTCAAGTAAGCAGGTGTTGCCAGGGCACACTGGTACAAAATGATTGGCTGGAGGCTGCTGCAGTCACTGGAGGTTGGTTTGGAGCTGCACAGCCCTAAAGTGGAGTGAGACCCATCAGGTCAGCAGTGACCTCGTCTGTCCTGGCCCTGTTTGGGGCTCACCAAAAGAACTGGACACGTCCCTTTCCAAGACTTCCTCCATGGCATTACTGGTGTGTGCTGCCCGAATTGCTCTTACTGTGCCCTCCTTGTGTAAGGCAGCAAAACCAGGAATTGGACCAGGAAGGAGTCAAACCCCTTGATTTTTTTGAAGGGGCTTGAATTCATCCACTCATTTGATTGTGCAAATTGCAGTGGGCCGGGTCTCTACTCCTGGTTTCTAGCCCAGCCCTCAGCTCTCCAGGAGCTGTGTGTTGCACTCCTTCTCGCTGACAGGCTCAGGCTTGGAAGCAGTTTCTGGAAATCGAATTTACTGCAATTTATTTGCAATGAAGCATGTGGGTTTTCTGTATGCAGCCTGCAGCGTTGGAGCCAGGCAAATCCTTAGTGGAAATATTGTGAAACAAAGCTTTGAAATAGGAAGTATGAACTGGATGCTGGGATCGTGTGAGAATCAAACTGATGATGCAAATTGTGAAATCTGTGGATGTGTGAATATGTGTTTTCAAAAGCAGCTTCTTTTCAGTTTAACCATACTTGGCTAAACGAGAAAATATCTGAAAAAAACAGAAAGCAAAACAAACTTGAGTGAGAATTCATTCTGGAGGTGAGTGTTCTGTGGTGAGGGTGCTGGCTGGTGTGTTCCACTGGCTGGTGACCTCAGGGCTCTGGGGAAGGCCATGCCCTGGTGCTGTTGGGGGGCTGGTCCCTGCTCCCCGCGTGTCCCCGAGTGTGCCGGGTTGGACGATGCTCGGTGCTTGCACGGGGTGTTGGTGGCTGTCAGGGTTTGTTGTGTCCCTCTCCTGGTGCTGTCGGGGCCCAGGATCTCACTGGGCAGCACTGGTGGAACCGTGGGATGTGCCTGGCAGGATCTGTGCCTGGAGCCACGTGGCAGCACCTGCAGCACAGGGCCAGGTGCTGGTCCTGGCTGCTCCCCCTGCACCACGTCAGCCCCAGCTCCCCCCTTTGCCTCCCTGGGCCGCAGCGAGGCCTCTGACTCTTCTTCTACCAGTAACGTTCATGACAGATGAACGTTGCTCCAGATGAAACTCGTCCATTCAGTGGCCAAAGACTGCAGCCCCTGTTCAGTGCCTTTCCCAGAGAACCTGGGGAAGGTTTGGCTGTCTGATGCCCTTTGCCTCGCCAACCCTGGGCTCTTCACAGTCTGTTTCTTCCTTTAACTCCTTGTGGCTTTTTTCCCCATTTCAGCAGCAAGAGCAGTGATTTCTGCTGTTACATTACTAAATCCTATTTATCCTATATTACTAAATCCCATTTAATCTGTTTACTCGGTCTCTCCAATGAGTGGGGCTTTGCTGGTGTCTTATGCCAAACTCTGCTGCTGCTGAGTTGCCATTCAGATCCTCGCTGTCCTTTTGGCATCCAGCTGCTGTGTGTCAGTTGTGTGGTGCTGGCTGCTGCTGTGCTTTGCATCAGGGATAAGTGTCCTGGGGAAGGAGCTGTGGTTCAGAGATGAGCCCACAAAGGCTCTGGGGGTGTCTGGCCTCTCCCACTAGCTCAGAGCAATGTTAAGGCTCTCCATTGCTTGGTGTGCTCACAGTTCTGGAAGCTGCTGCTGTGTGGTGTCCACAGGTGACAGTGGTTCTCCGCTGTTATTAAACATCTGGGCACAAGTGCTGGTGGGGATGGTGTTAACTGAGTCAGCTGGATTTCAGTGCTTGCTCCTGATGAGTCCTCACTGCCCATTCCATGTCAAGAGGCTCTCTTAATACCCTTTGTTCTTCCAGACTGCTCTGTACCTGCCCTCACCAGGCTCATCTGTGCTGCTTCCCCAGCTGCTCGTGTGTGTCATTGTTCTGATGAGGCTGTGACACTCCTAAGAATTACGGTCCCTTGGGTGCTCCTTTGTCCCTGTGCAGTGGGCTGTGCCAGCCCTGGATCTGCCAATGGCTGCGGCTCCTGGTGATTCCAGGTTCACAGCCAGGTGCATCCAGGTTTCTGTACTGGTTGTTCTGCCTGTGCATGCACACAGAGGTGTTCTGGAGTCACCGTGCTGTCCCCTCCAGCACACCTGAGTGTGTTCATGTTGTGCAGGGCTAACACTGGATGCAGAACCCTTTCCTGAACGCTTTTCAGTGCACTAAAAGCAGCCCCCTGGACTAGGTGGCAAACGGGACCTGCTGCAGTGCTCACTGACAGTCATGTTCATAGCGTGAGTGTAAAGAAAGAGCCAAACTCTCTCCCTTGCCAGGGATGTCTGTTCTCCTGTGCCACCTTCCAGAGCACCCACTGCAGGAAGGGGCTGGCTGGCTGGGGGTCTGGGGTGGCTCCCATGCCACTGGACGTCCCTGTGGGGCAGTGCTTGGACAGCTGGAAGAAGAGATCCTGCACCTTTCTCTGGGCACGACAGGTCCCCGTGGATGTGTGCAGGGGAGGGAGGGGATGTGCTGACAGCATTCATTTGAAAATATGTGCCTTTTTGACTTGTTCACTTGTCGTTTTTCATTTTTTCCCCAATTCCCTAGGAAAGATCAGCACCTCCTTTCCCCTGTGAACTGCTGGTACCTGGTCCTGACGCAGACTCGGCGGGAGAGCCGAGACCACGCCACCCTGAATGACATTTTCATGAACAACGTCATCGTGCGGCTGTCGCAGATCAGCGAGGATGTCATCAGGCTCTTCAAAAAGGTAACCCGGGCAGCTGGGGGGAGTTCAGCTCTGTGAGGGTCCATCCTGGCATTTTAATCTGAAGTGGAACCGCCAGAGATGCTGCAGAGCAAATCTTTTGAAGGAATATCACTGTAAGTCTTTCCAGATAATATTTATTCAAGAGTTTTAAGGAAACTGAGATCTAGAACTGCCAAGTGACAGGCAGCGAGGAGTGACCTGGTGCTCAAAGTGGTGTCGGTGCCAGAGAGATGAAAGGTGGAAATGTGATGAGTTTTTCTAAAGACTCTTGGAAGCCTTCAGAGGACAGATCAGGACAGGCTTGTTGGGTGGAACCTTGGTAAAGAACAGGATGACAGGCATGAGGCAGCTACAGGAGAGGAGTCAGCGTGGCTTCCTGAAGGGAAGAGTCATGCCTCAGAAATCTGGTGGAGGTATTTCTAGGAGCCAGGGATTGTGTCAGTAGCTGGCACAGTGCCTTCAGTGGGAAAGACTGAATTTCTTGAAGAGCTGTTGAAGAGTAAGGAGCGGTTGTTTTCTGTCTTAATGACTGAATAAAAGAGAGGGAACAAAAGGAAGGAAAATGTCAGTGTGGTTCCTAAAAAATTATTTGGAAAAAGGGTGAAGAGTAAGATGCCTGATGATACAGAATTAATAATAACCAAATAAAAAGAAGCATCATATAGTTGTGGGAATCTCACAATCAGGGGGACCACGACTCTTCACTAAAAGCGAGGGGGAATGTGGTAAGGACGTGAAGAGTCCCAGCAGTGGGTTGGCTCTGTGACTCTAAGGTTTTCCTTAATTTTGTCCCTTGTTGTCAACAGGACATCTGGGGCCTGCAGTCAGGGAGCAGGGCAAGCCTGCAGGGCTCTCCAGCAGGACAAGGCTCATAATCAGGGCTTATCTTGAAATTTCAGCCTGACTGGAGAGTAAATTTCATGTGATATTTTTATGGCCAGTTTCCTCTGTTTTATAGATCTGACCTGGAAATTAAACTGCAAGGTCAGGCTTGGGTTTGCTGATCTGGTGTGGGACATCATCCCTTCTCCTGTCCTTCAGGCCTCTAGAAATCTGAGAGGTTTGGGATATATTGGTTAGTTCAGTTCTAAGCCTGTCTCATAGTCTTCCTGCCATTTACATTTTGCTCTGAACCTGTTTTTGAGAAGTATGCTAAGACTATCCTTCTGCCAAGATGGTGTGTCATGTGGAACTACAGGACAAATCCAGTCAGCATTCAATCAAGGACATCCATGGAGTGTTCAGAGTGTTCTCTTATAGTAGGTCAATCCTCAGCCAGGACAAGATGATGAAATATTTTACCCATTCAGCAGAATTACTTCTTTGTGTTTGGTTTTCCTCCAGCTCTCCCTCCTCATTTTTGAACTTAAATTTCAGCTTTTAAGGCTCAACACTTTCATCCTATAGAAATGGTTGCTTCTTGTTTCTCCCTCCTCCATCTCCTAAGGGGGGAGCTGGTGGGACTCCATCCACAGCCTGCCAGAGCCAGCACCAGCTTTGCATCTAAAGGAGCCTTTACAGTTGTGGGGATCTCTGATTTCACCACATTTGACCCTTGGACTCACCTGACCCTGGAAATAATGCTCAACTCAATCAGGGAAAAGGCTTTTTTTGTGTCATCATTTGCCTTTCATGTGGATGGAGAGGCTGCCACTTTTGGCTGTTTATTTTTCTCCCCCTATGGCACGCCTTGCCTGGAGGGATCTGGATCCCACTTCCCAGTAGTGTTTGGTGGGGCGCCTTGGGCGTGTGTGTGGGAATAGGAGCATCCTGGTAAATGAATTCTGAAGACATCCATCCAGCCTTGCAGTGTTCGAGGTTGCTCAGAGGAGGGATCTTCCCCTGTTCTCTCTGGTTCTGATTTACTCAGCGCTCCTCTGGGGAGGCTGTGCTGGCAGGGCCTCTGGCTCAGGAAGGGTTAAAGCACTCGCAGTTGTGGTTCAGCTGCTGGGCGTGCTGGAGATTTTTCTTTGATGGTAAATTAGGGTAACATTTTTTTCCAGAGATGTCACTTTTAATTCCCCCCACCTAGAGTTTATTAACGGGCTGTGACATGCTGTGGGGACACGAGGAACTGGGAGGTTTTGTGTTTCCTGCGTTCATTATGTAAATGTAAACAATCCAGCAAAGCAGCAGGGAGGGATTGGTGAGGAGCAATTGCTCAGTGCCATGGCAGTGTGCCAAGAAAGATGCAGGGTGCTGAGCTGCTGCTCCCTCGGCTGCCCTGGTTGAGCTGGGGGGGTCGACCATCAGTAAATTGGGGCACTGCAGTTTGTTCCTCTTTACCCAAGTGTTCTTCACCCTCAGCTGACAGTCCTGGCATTGGCCTCTGACACACCTCTCACTGTGGCTAGCCAGGAACCCTTCCAGCCCAAACCACCTGGGGGGAAAGCAGAGGAAGAAAACTCAATTGGGCAAGTTTCCCTGGAGCTTCCAGTGCTAGACACATTCCTGGTGCAGGAGGAGATGATCAAGGCGAGTGTGTTGATGTTGCTAATAGGCAGTGCTAAATGGGGATGCTGAGATGTGTCCCTGTGGAGATCTGGCTCTGCAGATCTGCTGTCAGGGTGAGTCTCTGTCCCACGAAATCTCACAGCGCGTCCTCCTGGCAGAACCAAACCCAGGCGGAGGGACCCATGGCCAGGCAGGTGTTTTCTCCCCTCTGACCTCCTGCTGGGGTGTTAGCAAGCCTCAGTGAGACTTCTGAGAGCACTAGTGACCACCGGTGTCAGTGAGCAGGAGATGGGGACTGAGGTTCCAGTGCAGGTGAGGGTTCCAGATGGCTGTGGGCACTGAGCACCTCCTGGTCCCTGGCATCGTCCTGGCACCCCGTGCCCGTGGCAGTGGGAGCAGTGGCATGGGACTGAGGATGGGATTGTCCCAGGTACCCCAGCGCTAACTCACGGATACACTGTGGTTACTGGATGGTCACGGATCCAAGGGACTTGGACTCTTTAGATTCTTTACTTCAGGCTTTGCTTTGATTCCAACTTTTAATAATCTAAGGTTAAACTTCACAAGTAGGTGGGTTGTCCTGTTGGCTGAAGTTAGAGGACCTCTCTGTGTTGAGGGCCTCTCTCACCACCCAGCATGATGGGATGTTGTTTTCCCTTCCTGTGTGCTCAAAACTGCCTGGAGTTATTTGAGGAAATCTGAAAGAAACTGCTTGGGTTTGGTTTGGTGGTGGTGTTGTTTTAGGGAGGGAGGAGGGGAGTGTCTATACTTAGTTTAAACACATCTTCAAGCTATAATAAGTGTTCCCTAGCCTAGAGGATTCCATGTAGAGATTTGGGGTGTAATTACAGGGAGGCAGGAAAGCAGTGCAAGCACATCCCCAGCAGCTCCAGATGCTGGGGTGTGGCAGGAGTTGGCTTGATCTGCAGCCAGGCTGGGCAGCTCCCCATGCTGTGGCCTCTCTGTGAAGTGCCATGTCCATGCTTTGGGAGGTTGATGGCTGGATCTGCTTCCTCCTGCCTGGCAAGGAAAGGGAAAACACAGACTGCTAATAGGATTTCAGCAGACAGAAGGATGCCAGGGGTTTTACTCACTGGCGGTAAGGATCTCCCGAGCTGGCTGAACTTTGGCTGCTGCAGCTGTGAAACTGGAAACTTTATTATATAACTGTAGTGTAGCTATTTTGTAATAAAATGTCCCTTTTCAGAGATACTTTCATTCGCTCAGGTCAGAATAGTGAAAATGATCTGCTGAGGACAGGGTTGGGGAGGGTGAGTCATGGCAAGGAACATCTAAATTCTGGGATGGTGGGACTGGGGAGCCCCAATAATCCTCATTCTGAAATACCAGTGTTGGCTGGAAATTGCAGGTTTAACAGCAGGTGTGTTTAACGAGTGTGTCAGATCAAGACAGGCTGACAGATGATGCTGTGGGACTGGAGAAAGACAATCTAAGGGATCCGTGTACCCACAGATGGTTATTGGATGATGTCAGTTATACAGGGGAGTTCACACAGCACTAACACACAGCCTGCTTGGTTAGAGAATGCAGCAGCCACTCACCCACATGCACAAAGGCAGATTTTGTTGAAAAATAGGCAGAGTCAAGCTCTAAAACACCCTGGCTGTGGAGTGGGCCCAGTTTTGTGCACTCTGCCAGTCTCAGGGTGAAACCAGACCCAAACCTAGGGGAGGGTGTTACGTGTTAGAGCCACGGGGGGAGTTGTCTGTAGGCTGGAGATAAATTCTGCCAGTGGAAGGACAAAGCAGTATTGCCTGTGATTTTAGATTCATCCCTTTTGCAGGATAAATAAGTTAAATTGATTGATGTTCTTCCTTGTGGTCTCTGAAACCCAGGTTGGGTGATCCAGGGACAAACATCGACCTCAAATGCAAACGCAGCAGTTCTGAAAGCAAGGCTTTGCTGTGTGTTCACAGTTATAATCCCTCCAAGGTATCTTTTCCTTTCAGAACTGTGTGTTTTGAGCAGAGCAGAGTCTCAACGCTTCTTCATTTTTGTCTTGCAGAGTAAGGAGATTGGCCTGCAGATGCACGAGGAGCTCCTGAAGGTGACCAACGAGCTGTACACGGTGAGCAGCGACCGATGCCGCGCGTGCTGGCAGTGTGGGGAGTGCTGCTGGTTGGAGCAGAGTGTGTGCCCAGCCTCGGGGTGGCTCAGGGGGCTCTGCCATGGCCAGCAGTGCAGGGGGTGCTGCTGGTTGGAGCAGAGTGTGTGCCCAGCCTCGGGGTGGCTCGAGGGGGCTCTGCCCCGGCCATCCTGCGGCCTGGCCTGTTCCATGCGGAGCGTTTCCCAGCGCTCTGGTGGGAAGGGCTGCTTCCTTTCAGCACACCTGGGCATGCCTGGGCGGGATCTGGTGTGATCCCCGTGTCTGTAACTCCCTCCTCTGCTGTGGCTCCTGCACTGTGTGGCCTTTGGGTCCCTCTCAGTCCCTGGGTTGGTGATTTCCAGGCACTGGCGGCTCTGAGCTGGCCGTGCTTGTTTGGTGCTGACACCTGCCCTGCTCCTGTGAGTCTGTGGCCTGGGGGGAATGGATTAACACGACCTTCTGCTGGGGAAGGCAGGAAGTGTTAGCTCATGGGTGCTCAGCTCCATCTCCTGCTGTCTGTGTCTCCTGGTGAGGTCATGCACTGTTAGTCAGGACTTGGCTCTTCAAAAGCAGGTTTCCATAGCAAGATATAGCAAGTAAAGTTTTCATAACGAGTAAAATTCTTTGTGTTACTTCTGTCTCTTGCCTTGTAACAATTGCTTTTTAAAAAAAAAAATATTTTACTTATGGTTTAGAAGTAACAAAGCAATGTAAAGTCTGTCTTGTATTGGAAAACTGAGACAATGTATTTGCTTTCTTTGGTTGTATCTGTTGCTGGTATATAAATAACACTGCAACAGCTTTATTTCTAAGCACTCATTCCATTCCATCTTTTTGAAAAACAGGCCTAAACAACAGAGCATGAAGGATTGTATTTGAAATTTCTGCCATAAATCTTCTCTCAACAGGCTTGTTCTTGCAGTGACTGTTGAAGGATTTGGTTGTTGTGAGCCCTGCGGTGTGGGTGGACAGCAGATCGGATTAAAAAGCCTGTGTGAGATTTGGGAGTGCATTGTTGATGGTTCAGTGTCACAAGCTCAAGGGGTGGTGACTAATTAAGATCAATTACAACAGCATCTTGACAGATGCAAAACAAGGAAAGGCTAACACAAAACAGGGAGAGAGCTGAGCTGACCTTAATACCTGCAGACCAGTGTGCTCTGAACCTGGACACAGGACAGGGGCATCACCTGAGGGACATGCTGGGGTCAGCAGGGGGGTCACTGTGCTGAGATCCAAAGTGTGAGCAGCGGTCAGGGAGGAGCAGAGAGGGAAATTGTGCTCCTGCTGAGTCTGGGGCTAAACTTGTCCTCACAGGAACTGAGATTTCCCCCACTCACTGCTTTGCTTCGTGTGCTGAGCAGAATGGGCTTGAATGGTGAAACAGACTGGTTTGAATGGTGAAACTGGATCAGCTGGAGGAACTTTGTGTTTGCTTGCTGCTAAGATGACAAACCAGTTGTGTTATCCAGCTGGGAAGGAGCAGGAAAGGGACACACTTCAGAAACGATGATGAAGCATGAAGAGAAATTAGGGCCTGTGGGGCAAACAAGGTCACCTCAGGTCTGGTTAGTGCTGGTCAGAGAGATCTGTCCTTGAGCCAGCAGGTGAAACAGGCCTGGCTGCAGCCCTGGCTCAGGGTGCTGGGGGTGGCTGAGGACACCTTTGGGACTGAGCTGCTGTCGGTGTGGTCAGTGCAGCACACTGGGTGCCCACAAGAACTGTGACTGCTGATGGAACCAGACACAGGATAAGGACCTGGCTCACAGGACACCAGGATGCTGCTTGAGGAATGTCACTTGTCTGCTCTCAGCACAGGGAAGTCACTTCTCTCGTCTCTGGCCAGGTCTTTAACTGCAGCACATCTGTGCCCTGGCCCAGCTGCTTTTTAGGCCTCTCTGAGGGGAACTCTCTGCACTGGGCAGAAACTATAATTTTTTACAGGCTTCTCAGGCATTCAGTGTTTCAAACTTAAGCCAGAGCAACCAAATTGATTTTAACTCAGCCTTGTTGCTGTTCTGGTGCAAGTCACCCTGTGGACTCTGTATGAAAATAACCAAACCCAACCCATGCTGACTTCAGTCAAAAAGGAAGTGGATTGCTTTCGTTCTGGAGATGCTTGTGAATGGTTCTGTACAGGAACAGTTCAGCTGTGAATTAAAACCAGCTTCATCCTTTTGGTTCCTGCTTACAGACTGCAGCACACAGGTACCAAGTTGGAGCCTGTAAAGGCTGGATGTTCCTGGGCCTGAACCTGTGCCTGACACAGTCACCCTGTTTCTGCTCTGGCTTCTTTGCTGGGTCAGAACCTTGGGGATGAGCTGTTCAGAAGGACAAAGCCCTTGTAGCTGAATACAGCCAACAGTGCCATTTATGGCCGCTATTTTGGCAACAGCCTTTATCCAGAGCATGTAATTAATATGGAAAACACAACTCGTGTTGTTAAATAACTAATGAACATTGGAACATATTTTTCCTCCTCCACTGCAGCTAATTAACTGATTTGCAGGAAAGCTTTCCGGGCCGCAGCTGTGGCAGTTTGTCTTTGTGACACAGCAGTGCAAGCCAGGGACAGCGTGACTGGATTGCAGGCACCGAGATGGCACGAGGGAATTGCAGATTGGGGCTCGTTGCTGCAGTGCAGGTTGGCCCCGGCCAAAATCGAGCCACATATTACACAAAAATATCCCCCGAATTTCCAGGCGTGAGCTGCGTGGCAGGGCAGCTGGTGAGGTGCACAGTGAGCTGTTTAAGGCATCTGTTTTGGTCGAATATCAGTCCCATAACCTTTAGATTTCACTGGGCTTCTCTGTCCTGTTGTGTCTGGGCCCCTCTGGGTGCTGCAGAAACCTCTCCCGTTGCTGCCTGATGCAGTAACACATGCCTGATGGGCAGCATTTTGTTTTTTCACTTTCCTGTGAGTGCTTTATAAAAAGATGGAGATGGTGAGGATAAGGAGGGCTCAGTGAAGCCCTCTGGTTGTTCTCCTTGGGAAAATCCCAGGAATCGGCTGTTTTACGTGTGTCCTCTGACATTTGCTGCAGAGACTGCAGTTTGCAATACACGGCTGGAATGTGCATTATAACTTGCAGGGTTTTGCAGTGAAGTAGCTCAGGGCCAAGGCAGGAGCCTTTGCTCACTGTCCCCTGCCATTGCCTGCAGTCATCTCCCCGCGGTGGCACATTTTGTGTGGCTCCGGTGTGGCATTTGGAGCCCAAATCAGCTGAGCTTTGTGCTTGGCAGGAGAGGAGGGATCATGCGGCTCAGCCTGACCTGGGCCAAGGCAAACACTCCTGGGTCCTGCTGACAGCCACAGCTGAGGAAAACTCTGTGTTTTCTTCATTAAGCCTTGTGTAAAATTACTCTGCTTTTGTGGGTTCCTGCTCCTTCTTAACCCATGAGCCTCAGGCAGCCCATCCCGGGGTGTCCCAGCCCATCCCATCCCATCCCATCCCATCCCATCCCATCCCAGAGGGAGACAATGGAAGGGGACAGTGTGACTACAAGTATAAAGAGAGAGGAGCAGTTGGGTTCCTCTTGCCAGCTTCATTAAAATGATCCCAGTGTGCCCCTTGGGCCCTTGTATCTGAAAGGGAAAGCTGGAAGGGTGGAAGTTTTACCTGCAGAGTGTTCCTGGCAGTGGATCTGGAATGTGAGGGACACGGTGCTGCTGCACCCACTGGTGCTGCCCATGCCTGCTGGCGGCAGCAAGAGGAGGATGAGGTGGTGACAGGAGACAAACCCCATTTTTGTTTGGGAATTGCAGCTCCTCCACTTTTGGGTGGTCCTGCTGTCAGGGTGGTGGAGCAGAGGCTGTGTCACGTCTTTGCCAGTGTAGGAACAGATATGTTGGGTTAAAAGGGAGTTCAGGGTGACTGTGGCCTCCTCACAGTCACTTGTTGTGGAGACCCTTACCCAGCTGCAAAGCACTGGAGGTTATTCCTCATTTCCCTGTTGGCAGACACAGTGCTCTTTGACTGCAGGTGTGTGCTGGGGGCGTCTCAGCCTGTCCCCACAGCAGGACCGAGCTGGATCGTGGTTCTTACACCAACCTGGAGCCGTTGAAAGTCGAGCTGGGGATGGGGTTAATCTCACAGGCTTTTCCTCCCCATCTTGCTCTGCAATGCCACAGTGGCCTCCACAGCCCCTCTGTGCTGCCTGTGGCTGTGACCTCCCTGCTCCTGTGGCCGTGGGCAGGTGGCTCACGCCCTGCTGTGCCTGCAGGTGATGAAGACCTACCACATGTACCACGCAGAGAGCATCAGCGCCGAGAGCAAGCTGAAGGAGGCAGAGAAGCAGGAGGAAAAGCAGTTCAACAAGTCAGGGGACATCAGCGTGAACCTGCTGCGGCACGAGGACCGGCCCCAGCGGCGCAGCTCTGTCAAGAAGATTGAGAAGATGAAAGAGAAGGTGGGTGAGAGAGGAGGAGTGGGGAAGCCTGGCTGGGGTTGGGGCTCTTTGTGGGCAGGGTGTTGGCTCCAGCCCTGTCCGTGTCCATGCAGCTGTTACTGAGGCCATGGGAAGGGGTGAGGGAGGGTGTTGCCTCATGTGCGTGTTCTGCTGAAGGGCAGCCCAAGGAGGCCATCAGGAGCCTCTTCCCTGCACCTGACCATGGAGAAGTAGCAGGAACAGGTCCTGTTGAGGATTTGACCCAGAGTCGGGCTGGCACAAGGACAAGGGACATCAGGCAGTGCAGCATTGGAGGGGGTTGGGGGACCTAAATGAGAGCCACGTGGCCACCTGTGACACCTTCCTGGCTGGCTCTCTGTGGGGAGGGCTGAGATGGGGGCTGGAGGGGCCTCAGGGGCGATGGCTCATGGAGCACAGGGCAGGGAGGGGTCGTGGGAGCAGCTCCTCCTGCAGCTCTTGGACAGGGGCTTGTCTGTGCCAGCTGGGAACCCTGGAGGCTGCACCGAGGAGGGCAGTGCCTTGGGCTGTCCAGCTTGGCATGGTGATGCATCCTGATCCAGGCACTGGACCCTGCTCTGAGGAGTTGGGGTTTGTCCATGATTGATTCTTTAAACAAAGTGCTTTTAAAAATGGACAGCAGCCCCAGCGTTCCCTCAGTCACAGACTCCTGACAGCAAAACAAGGGTTGATCTATAAAATACCAGTGTTCTGCCTCCACGGGCTGTCTGGGAGGGAGAGTGCAGGATCTAGATGGCTTTGCTAGGCAAAACACTTCACACCGTTCCAGCCTCAGCAAATCTCCCTAGCCTCAGGATCTCCACTGCTGCAGTTTTTGTGTTAATTTTGGAGAAAAAGCAGTAGCTTCCCCAGCCATGCCACATTTGCTCACAGGCTGACCCAGCCCCAGGACATTTGTAGCAGTGAAGTTCCTGGAAGGGTTAATCTTTTGGCTCAACCTTTGGAGCAGGGATCTGCCTCGACAGATGTCCCAGATCTGGAGCACATCTGCTTTCCTACAGAGTTTTGAATTCTGGGTCCTGTCCTAAATTGTGTTGCTGGAGCCTCTAGGCCAGATTCCACTTTGATACAGCTGCACACATCTGGAGCAAGTCCAAACATATGTCAGTATTTCTGCAGGGAAAATATGTCCCTCTGATTTTGATTGATGCCAAAACCCCCCCAAATGTGCAGCTGAAGGAGCAGCAGCAGCTGCTGTGCTCGAGGGGCTCCAGGTACCTCTGAGCAGGACACACTTACTGTAGCTGACTGGCGGTGCCAGGGATGTTCACGTGGGATCTCCTCTACCCTGGCGAGGTCCCTGTTTTGTACCAGATACCAAATTTCATTAATTCCCTCATCACACCCAGTCTGCAGGGTGCTGTGGGGCCCCATGGCAGGAAAAGCTGTGCCAGTACCATCCTGTTTGTGCTCTGACTCTCCTTTGTTTTTCCAGAGACAAGCCAAGTACTCTGAAAACAAGCTGAAGTGCACTAAAGCCAGGAATGACTACCTGCTGAACCTGGCGGCCACCAACGCGGCCGTCAGCAAGTACTACATCCACGACGTGTCTGACCTCATCGACGTAAGTGCTCCCTCCCCTGTGCCCCCCAGCGTGGCTGGGCCCTTAACTCTGATGAAGGGGTGTCAGGGGGTCTTTAAAATGCACCTGCCGGGGGCTGGAGGTGTGCTGTGACTCGGATTTGTCTTGGGAGGAGCCACAGGAGCCCATCAGTGAGTCTGTGTTTGAGACAGAAACACTTGCCAAGGTCAGACAGCCTTGGTTTTGGTGCTGAAACAGAAGGTTTTTTTTCTTTCTACTCCTTGGTAACTTTGGTGGCAGTTCAGTACCTGTGGAAGTCCCCTGGCTGGGGAAGGTGCCTTGAGAGCTTTATCCCAGCGCTCCTCGCAGGGAAGAGCCTCAGGGCAGGAACTGCTGAAGACAGGTTTCATGGGGATGGCAAGAAGTGAATGTGTGTGTGTTGGTGACTCCTACAAACTGCTTTGAGATGATTCAAATAAGGGATTTACCCAGGGAAGAGATTCTGGTTTCTTCCTTTAACGGGCATCCCACAGCATGTAGATTGCTCGATGCAGTTTCTTCCTGCCTCAGTGAGCACATAAATAACAGCTCTAAGCTCTGAGTTACCATCATTACCTAAATGTACAATTTAAAAAGGTGCTGGAGTTTTTATCTCCTTTCTTAACCCACTAACATGTAGTTAACTCTTTGGAGAATTAATTAAGTCTGATGCAAAACCTTTGATGACTTCAAGATTTTGAGGTATGATAAAATATTCTTACTATGTTCCTTTTGTTCTCTTTACTATTTAAGGTATGTTAAAGAACTAGTAACTTGATTGTGGAGACATTTGAATGAGAAGGTGTGAGAACATCTTCATTTATCTGTGGGCTTTCTGCTTTTGCAGTGTATCTTCTCTCTTTCTCTTGTTTATTTATTTTTAAGCAGGAATGACTTATTTTCATGGAGTTTGTGAGACTGATTTCCTGGAGAGTTGCTGAGTTCCATTTTAACTGTTTATATTATTCCTCCCAAATTTATTTCCTTGCTGACACTTCCACTGGAGTCAGCAGATGGCTTTTCTCCTGCACTCCAGGAATCCCTTTGGGACTTCTGCTAAAGCATCTCCAACTTGGAGCAGGGAAATTCCCCAGGTTGTAAATTCTGTTCACTGAAGAAGCGAAATATTGGATGTGTGAGCTGCACGTGGGTGTCCTGGTTCTGAATCCCCAGAGGAAGAGCAGTTTATCTGAACAGGCTCTTGTACAAATTCAGTGTATTTTGCAAGGGTGTGGCCAGAAGGGCTTCAGCAGCTCCAGAAGGGATCTCAGTCCTGGGATCTCAGCCACCAGATCCCAGGAGTGTTGAAGGGGATCTCTGTCGGGCAGCTGAGCCCACGGAGGGAGCAGGTCTGTGGGAAGAGGGGGGGTGAGAAGGGGCTTGATGGGAGAGCAGAGCTCGGGGTGTCTTGGAGCCTGGCTGGTGCCCTGCTGGATCCTGGGTGTCCCTGCACTGCAGTTACAGATCCCACCTGCTCCTCCACCCTGCGTCCCTGGGGGATGGTGAGGGATGCTCCAGGCTTTTTTCCTGGACATGGCAGGGGAGAGGGGGCTCTCGCCACGCCCTCCATCTGCAGCACAAATCCCTGTGTGCAGCAGTTGATTTCACGCAAATCCAACCCGTCAGGACACCACAGCAGCCAATTTAGCAGCGTTTCCCCAAATCCCAGCTGGCTCAGTGTCATCTACGAGGCACAGCCCTGACACGGCGTGCGCCCTGGGCGTCACCACGGAGCAGTGAGGGTAACAAAGCTGTGCTCTAATCGCCTGCCCTGGCGAGGCACAGGGGCCCAGCTGCTCTGGGAGAGGGTGGGAGGCCTCCCAGGGCTGCCTTTTAATGAGAGCTGCAAAGCCCATCAGAGGAGCCGTGCAGGGTGCGGAGCCGTCTGTGCCTCTGTCTCCAGTGGCCTGGCTGTTTTGTCCTTTAGAAAGGACAGAACACAGAGACGGATCAAATTAGCCTTGCACTGGCAGTGCACCACGGGGCTTTCTTTGGACGACACGTGTGTCTGTTTAAACGCCTGGGCTCATCTCATTTCTGTCATTAACTGTGTGACCAAGTTAATCTCTTTGGCCACGTATGTGAAGTGGAGATAAAGCTGCTTATCCATCCCTCTGGAGTTCTCTGGGAAATGGCTGCAAGATAGTTTGAAGTGGTCACATGAAGGATTTCGCCAGATTGAGCGGAGAGAAGGGAACAGTCAGTAGCCATACACACTGATCTGCCAGAATGTGTGCAGCCTCCTCTGAGTCCTTCGGAAGCAGCAGCTTGCTTCCCTGTGGAGCAGTGTTTGCTGTATCCGAGACAAACAAGCAGGGAAAGGAGGGGAACTCTGACGAATTTGATGGTACACAGAACTACCAAATTGTTTGGTTCCTGGAAAAATTAGCCGAGTCAAGTTAGGGAACAGAAACATCAGTCAAAATAGTTCTGCCAGAAATCTTCAGTTGGCTTTACTGGACCGGGCTTGGAGCAACCTGGACTAGTGAAAGGGGTTCCTGCCCATGGCAAGGGGGGTGGAACTGGATAATCTTTAAGGTCTCATCCAACTCAGACCATTCTGGGATTCTGTGGTTTACTTGCCTCTCAATACAGCTCTGGGTTTTGCAGCAACATCAAGAGAGTAGAGGCTAGGAATTATAATACGTGTATAATTATTATACATTATGCATATAATTAAAAAATGATGCAGAATATTTTTAAAATAAAGAAAAATGTGGAAAAGAAGGAGCAGAGCAAATGAGTAGGGCTGTTTGTTTGCAGGTGGTGCTGGGTCCTGTGGAGGCAGAGGCATTACTGCTCTGCCTGGGGAGTGCAGTGGTCACTGACAGGCACCTGTGGGTGCTCAGGGGTTACTCTGGGCTGGCCACTTCTCAGGTGACGTGCACTGGTGCTGG